CAACGGTTCGCCAGTCATAAGTGGACAAAACACACACAGACTTTTGTCAAACACAAGTTTAGAAAACTTCCCGAAGAAACTTCGACACATCTTAATGAACCTCCTATCTTGATATTTCCATCTGAAGGCACTTACACATAGAGCAGGTTTTGCCAGAAAAATATTTTCAACACTAAAGAGAAAAAATTGTGAAAATATAGAAAATATATGTAAACCTAAAAGGAGTTTAAAAGGAAAATACTATATTTTTCCAGAACCAATGACCACGTGTTCTCGTCATACAGCTTTCAATAGATTTTGACAGGTTTACAGTATCTACTAGTGAACTTTCACTGATTCAAAGTAACTTATTGATATAAAAAGTGAATTTTCAGTAGTTTTTTTGTTCTTAATTTAAGATGTTATTAATTCAATCTTGCATTAATTACGTAGTAGTTAAAATATATTTAAAATGGTTACTTTAAATTGCTCGAAGTTTCCAGAAATCAATAATTTGGTTACTGTATTTTTGACTTTGTGTAGAATCCAATTGTTTGAAAATAATGACGATTCAAAAGTGGCTCCACACATATCCCGCCCCTATTCCCCCACCCACTGTCGGTGGCTCAGTTATAAGTCTGGAAGCTTAACGTGATAAAAATCAGGTTTCGATATCCACAGTGGGCACAACATTATGTAGTTCTGTGCTTTACAACAAACAACAACAAAAAAAATACAGAAGTGGCTCCAACAATTGTTCCTATAAGGTTGGATATGTTTTTACTAGTATATAATTTACAAAATGACATCACAAATATCAACCTAAGGCCAGATCTAAATTAACTACAATGCTATAGGAAGATTTATGACCCATATTTGTTATGTATTTGAAACCGGTGATGTTAGGCTTAATGTATTGAGGTTATTTTATTGGAGTTATTTATTTTTAAATGTTCTTGTTGTCTTTCAAAAGATGTGAAACAATCTTATTGATGTCATATGGAACTGAATCCCCATGGTTCTAGATTTGTAGTATTACTGTATATAAAGTCAAACAAGGAAAATGAAATAACCAATAAATTATCAATACAATTCAAACACTTGTTAATGTACGTAGTAGCAAAAAATAATATCAAACGAGCAGTAACTCAGATACCTGTACGTAAGTGTTTCGTGTTTATCAACTCAGACAATCTGCGTCAAGGAAGAAGAATAGGGCTGGCACTTGGTTGTCGAGAATGTCTATGTAATTAACTCGCTAGTTGCAAAAGTAAAGTAAACAAGATACATGCAATTACGCTGACAGATGCAAAAGTAAAAGAAACAAGAGACACGTAACAACGTTGATAGATGCAAAAGTAAAAGAAACAAGAGACATATAATAACGTTGATAGATGCAAAAGTAAAGGAAACAAGAGACACGTAATAACGTTGTTAGATTCAAAAGAAGGAAACAAGAGACACGTAATAACGTTGTTAGATTCAAAAGTAAAAGAAACAAGAGACACGTAACAACGTTGATAGATGCAAAAGTAAAAGAAACAAGAGACATATAATAACGTTGATAGATGCAAAAGTAAAGGAAACAAGAGACACGTAATAACGTTGTTAGATTCAAAAGAAGGAAACAAGAGACACGTAATAACGTTGTTAGATTCAAAAGTAAAGGAAACAAGAGACACGTAATAACGTTGATAGATGCAAAAGTAAAAGAAACAAGAGACATAATTAAGTGATAGATGCAAAAGTAAAGGAAACAAGAGATACGTAATTACGTTGTTAGATTCAAAAGTAAAGGAAACAAGAGACACGTAATAACGTTGATAGATGCAAAAGTAAAAGAAACAAGAGACTTAATTAAGTCTTGTTTCCTTTACTTTTGCATCTATCAGATATGTAATTAAGTGATAGATACAAAAGTAAAAGAAACAAGAGACACGTAATTACGTTGATAGATGCAAAAGAAGGAAACAAGAGACACGTAATTTATTTGAAAAGAAAACTATTAGTGTAAATTAATCACTCTCAATTATCACGTTGTGTGATTTTCTACTAACTATTAGTTCCAAGCTAATATTTGTAAAATAACATATGTATTAATGATTAGCATGGTTTGTATCGTGATTTAGTTAGCGATATTTTTTACCATAACTTTAGGAATGTTGGCTAATTTAAAATATCTAGGTTAATCCCAGTTTCGTAAATTAAACCAATAATATAAAACAATATTCTGTGTAAATATGTATTTATATATAATTATTTTAAACATACAATTATTTCGTTTTACCGAAACTAATTACACAAGATAAATCAGTTGTCTATTCTTATACTTCTCTCTCGCGCGCATGTTGTGTAATTATGTAAAATTTACTTACAGATTCTAATTGTCTATCAAACAATCCCAATTACTTAATTATATTTTTAATTTAAAGGATTTGCTTTATCATCATTAATTTCAAAAACGTTTACTTTATCATCATTAATTTCAAAAACGTTTACTTTATTTATCTAGTGGCCTAAGCATGGCGGTCCGGCATGGCCAGGTGGCTAGGGCGCTCGAGTCGCAGT